GGTTTTACACCCGCTGGTGTAAGAGTTATTTTTTCGAAAAATTCTCGTTTTTCAAGTGACTTCAACTCAGCCAGCATTGCCTCCTTCCACTTTGGCCAATCACTCCTGTGTTGGCATTCTTCCACTGTTCTTGGTTCAACATCATTTTCATCAGACACAATGTCGATTGCGATGGAATTTGCAAATATTTCATCCACGATAACATCTTTCCTATTCCAATGAGTCTTGGTAGAGACATAATTCATCGAAATTTTATTGTTATCGATGTTTTGAACATCTTGTTCATTCCCCAAAGGGTTGTCTTCTTGTTCGTTCCCTTTTGGATTATCATCATTTTCTTTACTTTCATCCACATTTGGTCTTTCTTGACCTTCTGACGGGGGAACATCATTAGTCTCATTTTCTATTCCATCCAATCTTTTCAATTTCCTTGGTTTAGAATCTTTTGAACCAAGTGGTCTCCCACGCTTTCTGCGTGCTTGGGATTCATTCACAATGGCCTTATTATCAGTTGGTATTTTAATACTTGCAGGGGCATTTTCTGCTGGTATATGTGATTTTGTCACCTTCTTTGTGTCTACAAATGCATCAGACTATTGATTTGCAACACTTTGTAAATGAACAATTTTCTTGACTTCTTGTTCACACATATTTGTTCGTGGGTCTAACATCAATAGTTGTGTTGCATTCCAAATAAGTTCTATTTCTTTCTTGCGTGGGTCCACTTTCTCTCCACCTAAGGTTGGGAATACTGCTTCATTAAAGTGACAGTCGGCAAATCTAGCCGTAAATAAGTCACCAGTCAATGGTTCAAGATATTTAATTATAGAGGGGGATTCAAACCCAACATAAATTCCCAGCCTTCTTTGTGGACCCATTTTTGTTCGTTGGGGTAGAGCAATGGGAACATATACAGCACAACCAAAGATTTTTAGATGTGAGATACTTGGTTCTCGACCACAAACAAGTTGTAGTGGTGAGAATTTATGATAACCTGTAGGTCTCAATCTAATTAGTGTTGCTGCATGTATTATAGCATGTCCCCAAGTAGATGATGACAATTTTGATCTCATTAATAATGGTCTTGCAATCAATTGCAATCTCTTAATTAGTGATTCAGCTAGACCATTTTGTGTGTGAACATGAGCTACTGGGTGTTCAACATCAATTCTGATTGACATACAATAATCATTAAATGTTTGGGATGTAAATTCCCCAGCATTGTCGAGTCTTATTTTCTTTATTGTATGATCTGGGAATTGTGCTCTTAATTTGATAATTTGGGCAAGTAATTTTGCAAAAGCAACATTTCTGCTTGAATGCAGATTGACATGTGACCATCGTGTAGAAGCATCAATTAAAATCATGAAATATCGAAATGGTCCACATGCCGGATTAATTGGCCCACAAATATCTCCCTGAATTCTTTCCAAGAATTTTGGAGATTCAATAGCAATTTTGTTCATAAATGGTCTTATTATTAATTTGCCAAGTGAACATGCAAAGCATGTCAATTCATCCGATCGAGGAATTTTGACATTTCTTATTGAATGTCCAATTGAATTCGCTATTATTCTTTGCATCATCCCAGTTGCTGGATGTCCCAAACGATCATGCCATAAAATAATCAAATGTTTGTCATCTAACTTCTGGTTAGATATCATATTGATTTCCACAGGTCGTATATTTATACGATATAACCCCGAAGAATATGCTTCTCATAAATGTGTTTCTTGCCATATTTTCCTGCTGTGAGGCATAAATACTCCTTTTGACCTGTTGTCATTGTTTCTAAATGATAGCCATTTTGGCGTACATCTTTAAAGCTTATGAGATTTATTCGAGATTTACTCGAGTATAAAGAATTATTGATCATCAATTTTGTTCCATTTGGAAGCATTATACAAGCCTTTCCAGATCCTTCAATTAATTTTGCTGACCCGAAAATAGTGTTTACATTTGCCTGAAACAACTTTAGTTGTGAAAAATATTTCCTATCCTTTAAGATAGTGTGTGTTGTTCCACTGTCCAAAAGGCGCTGATATTCGGAACCAACTTCTGGCATATCCATATCTTCATAAAATAAATGTGAGATTAGTTTAGAATAATATCATACAAACTTTTATTGATGATAAAAATTAAGAGTACATGACTAGTCATTTAAAATACAGTACATAACAGAAAATACATTAAAAACGTAGTATATATTACATTAGTAGATGGGTTATTTAAGCATTGTTATTTTCTCCAAAGATGAAATCATTCCCAATTTCAGCATTGTCCATGAAGAAACCGGACACATCAAGGGTAGGACATGGAGCATTTTCTTCATTAACATAATTTGCTTCTGCATTTTTCTCTTTGCCTTTTACAAAAGCCCGGTAAAGGTCTACCAAATGTTTGGCCGTACGACAAGTACGTCCCCAATGCCCTGTCATGCCACATCTGTAACATGTGTCTTTTCCTTTTGAAGGAGTTTGTTTGTGGCTTCCAGATGATTGTTCCTTCTGTTTTTCAAAATTTTCAAAATTATTGTTTCTTTGAAAATTATTTCTACCACGTCCTCGGCCTCGTCCGCGATAATTTCCACGGCCTCTTCCCCACCCATTGTAATTTCCACATCCACCTCTTCGTGTAGCATTTGCCTCGGGTGGATAAGAACTTGTTGCATTTGCCTCATGACGAGTGGCCAAAGACCCAGTTGGTCTGAGATTATGATTTTTCAACAAAAGATCACTATTTTGTTCCGCAACAAGCAGTACACTCATTAATTCATTAAACTTTTTGAAACCTCTTTCACGATATTGTTCTTGCAACAGTATGTTGCTTGCATGAAAGGTAGTGAGTGTTTTTTCAATCATTTGATCGTCGGTGACTGGATGATCACAGTATCTCAATATAGATACTATCTCATGTATGGTTGAATTGTAATCAATTACGGATTTGAAATCCTGGAACCGTAAATTTGTCCAGTCAAATAATGCCTTAGGAAGGAGCACCCTTTTGTGGTGTCCAAATCTTTCATTAAGGCAATCTCGTAATTCTTTGGGATCTTCAATCATCATGTACTCAGTTTCAAGGCCTTCATGTAAATGATGCCTTAGTAACACTAAGTCTTTTGCCTTTTCTTGTTCAGTAACAGGTTTTTCAACCGTCATTGCAGAAGTGCTAGTATCAGTTGTTTGACCAGGGGGACTTTTATTATCTTTAACAGTGTGCTCCAACCCTTGAGCTTTTAAATTCATCATGGCATCCACTTTCCATTCCAAAAATTTCTTTCCAGATATATCTAGGATTCTGAATTGTCTTTTCATAAGATTTCCCATTTTAACTACAACAAATTACGTGATAATTAGTTAATAATAATAAATCATACGTACATCACATATGTTTAATTCTTCCATATTTTTAGTTTGTTAATGAAACACATATTAAATAAATTTATTTAACAAAGATAAACCATAAATAATATAGTTCTTTCTCCCCCTCGGTTTATTATCGTGAGTAATTATATGAATAAATCATATTAGCCGCATAAACAGCAAAAACGACAACAACAACAGTAGTAATAATAATTATAATAATAATGGTAATATTATACAATGATGATTAACAACAAAAACAACATAATAAAACAAAAACATGCTTTTAATCTACTAAACCGACAAAATAAACAAACTTCACTTGTACATTATGACAAAAATTAATATTGCTACTAACATAACTACAAGCGCCATAATTAGAAGAAGATATTGTTTTATCTTCCTTAAATCTTCCTCAAAGGTGAAGGTGTGGGTGTTTTGAGTGTTGTGGTTGCCGTCGGGGAACATATTGGAGAAGGAGTGAATTTTTTTTTTTTGGGTGATTTTTTGGATAAAGGAAAAAAAAATGGGAAAGGATAAGGGATTTGTGGTGAAAATCGGGGGAAAATCTACCTTTTATAGAGGTAGGTTTATCTCTTACTGTTTTGTACGATTGTAAAAATATCATATAATAGTTTAATGTACTGGCAATATTATGGTCCAAATATAAGTATTTATAATTGTAAAAGGTTATCACACTGGGAATGCAAGCCATAGTGGTCCGAGAGCCCTAATATCTATAAAAGGTCATGGGTTCGAAAACTGAAAGAAACACAAAAAGTACGTTAAAGAAAAAAATAATAAGTATATATAAAAAAAAGGCTGCATCTTTTTGTCAATTTAGTTAATAATATGTATGCAAAGTTACTACTAAGCAATTATAATAACTAAAATTAAATTTTACATAAAAGGTGAGTACGTAACATCAACATGTATGAATCAAACAAAAACCGAGATACCAACATGAATAAAACAAGGGGGGATAGTAATGAATTCATAAGTTATAAGAGAATTTTTTTTCACCGTTGTGTTTTTTTTTTTTTTTTTTTTGTGATATTTGATACAGTAAATGTTTGAGTTTCTGGTATAGAGGATCCCAAAATTTGGGCAACTATAGAGCATATTCCTCAAAACATTTAGAAATAGATGGTATTTATTTGTTATAATTTTAAGAAGTAGGTATAAATATACCTGACTAGGAATTGGTGCTGATAACGTGTTAAAAGATTTTTACCGACAGAAATATTTTGATCAGTGAAAGGAGGAGTCACTAGGCGAAAAACCCCAATCCCCACCGGTTCAAACCACACATTCCCCACCGGTTTTGAAGTGTTCTTGATTTGGGGGGTGCTAAATCCCCAAAGATTTCCCACCGGTTCAAAACCGGTGGCAAAAACCACTTTTCCCACCGGTTTTGGAGTTTTGGAGTGAACCGGTGGCAAAAACATGTGATTTATCTTATAGCTGGAGGACTTTTCCCACCGGTTTTCAAGTGAACCGGTGGCAAAACTATAACATTTCCCACCGGTTTTCACACTGACCCGGTGGCAAAAGTGCCCCAAAAAATAAAAAAAAAATGTTTTTTTTTTTTGCATTTTTTTCACTTAAATTGTACCAAATACTTATATATAATCATAATATACATAAAACACATATATTTGCCTCAATAACTTGTAATATTACACTTTAAAAAACTAAAAAAAAAAAATGGACATATAAACACTAACATATATATTTTTGGACACATAAACACTAACATATGTTGTCTGACAGTATACAAAAACTAATAGAACTCAGGACTTCAAGGGCGGCAAGAATGCAAAACTGATGCAGAGCAGAGCACAGTGACATTGGTGGCAATGGTGTTTGTCTTTGTAATATCAAATTCCATTTCCCCACCCATGTCCTCATTGCCGATGGCAGCATTGATGTCCATTGTAGGGGAAGGATTCAAGCTAACTCTAGAGTTAACTGCAGCATGATAATTCCATAAGTGCACATCTAACTGTATCAATACAAATAAACATCAGGCATAAATCAAAAGAATCTAAAAATTCTCTATTTTTAATAAGTTGAGCCATTAGCTACCAAATCTTGTAAATATCTGAAACTCATTTCTAACTCTTGTAGATACGGGCTGGTTTGTGACTTGTGAGTGCTCAATGTTAACTATTACAGGCCTCTAGACTCAACAATCCTGAATAATACCATACATTGATGCTAGTAGTATATAACGATTCAGGCAAGATACAGATATTAGAGCTGAAATGTGACCCTTAATAGGAACACCCATCAACACTAGAGCTGAGCATACATGCCAGACAGAATAGTGGTCACAGGATCCTACTACTTGTAATGCCAACAATTTAAAGCAAGAAAAGAGATCCTGGGGTGTGTTAGAAAAAGGTGAATCTGCACACCATCCTGAAAGAATCATCCTGAAAGAATCAAGTGCATGTCCTTTAAAAGTGTTGGCTCTTGGGATTATTTTACTGGTTTTGATGCTGAGTTGAAGACAGCAGTAATATTGAACTGGAAGAAAAGCTCGCAATCAAAGCTGTATATTACATGATATACTGAGTCAATATAGCAGTTATGTCTTCATAATAATACCGCAAATTTCATGGTAAATGCTATAACTTTTAATGTTATTGTGAATGAAATTTTGTTGAAAGTTTCTTGTAGATGCTCAAATGAGCTTAGAGAAGTGATAGTGATGTAAGGTGGTTGCTTAGCAGGTTTTGTCTGCCTGCAAGCTTTTGGTTCTGTTGTTCTGGAGGTCTGTATTAAGCATTTTCAGTTCTGCATTATTAATAAACTCTCTAACTAATTGCTTAAGAAATGAAAAGAAAAAAAAACTCATGCATCTTAAATGATCCTTTTTAAAAGCGCAGTATTCAGATCTATGCGATTACTCTGATATATTAGTAGTCCTATAGAACACTTACACTTAATTCCTAGTTCTTGTTCTTGAGGATGAGCTTATAACACTTGATTCAACTTTTGTGCACAATACAACTTAACTTATATTCAGAGTTTTGCAACAAAATTGGCCTGACTATAACTAATGCCAAAATGATCCAGGGATAACTAAATCTGGAAAAATAAATGCATATAATTAGCCATAAACACATGGAACCCCAATATCAAATCCTTTAATCAAAAGGAAGCATCAAGTCCCAACTCCCAAGCCCTTAAATCCCAAGGACATCACAAGAAAAATAAAATGTCAAAGCTGTTGGGACACACTAAAAACAGAAATTAACCAGCCAAAAGAACTTTCAGTTAATTGAAATGAAGCATTCATGTAAACACCCAGAAAAGCAAGGATATGAACACAACATCGCAGAAATGCAAAACTATGCTACCATAAGTACCTTAGCGAGTCTGGTTAAACCATCCTTAACTTTGGGAATGATCAAAATGTGTACAGGAGCTTGTGGATTGATATCCCGAAAAGCAAGAACCTGGTTCAATCCATTCAAAGTCAAATTAAACAACATAGACCTTCAGAGCCTCAATACCCTCCCCCCCCCCCCCCCCCCCCCCCCCCAAAAAAAAAAAAAAAAAGTAGCGTAGTCCTAACACTCATTACTAACCCCAGAAAATGAACTCCTAAAAATTTATAGTAGAAGACAAACAAGTGTCAAGGTCACAGAATCAGAAATATCATCGGTAATATTAAATGCTTACAATGAACTGGTCCTCAAAGTATTAGAGGGTCAGCCAGAGCAATACCTGAAGAGTACCATCTTCACCAAAAGGACCATGGATGACAGGAAACACAATATCAACTGAAGCAGCAAGGTGTTCCATAAAATCTGACAAGCAGCGAAAACCTTGAGCAAGGCTGAGAATAACAGTAAAAACAAACAATTCATTTTATGGAATCACCGCTAAATTCTCATGAAAGATGATAAATAAAACAAAAGTTAGAACTACACACCTTTCAAGCTTAAAATCAAAATCCGAAGGGGTGTTTGAATAGAGCTGCAAGTAGTAAGAGAGAAACAGATTAGCTCAATATGTTTGTTGCTGTTTGCATGCTACAAAGACAATATATATCTTTCTGCCAAAATTATCAAATGCATTCCTAAATTCCCAACCCCAACTTCAGAAGTGAACATAACAGAAAACAATATGATTTCCTTTCATTTCTTTGTAACTCAAATAAAAATCATAAAAGCTCTTGACAGTAAAACGCTCATTCCATAAAACAAATTAACATTAAAATAGTTCATCCAAACAACTTATTTTTTTTTTATTTTTTTTTTTTACCAAATGATCCGTTCACACAGAGCAATTACAACTTACAATCACCGAAGCATGGCAACAGTTTAAAGGTTTTTCGACTTTCCATGGAACCGAATTATCAAATGTACTCAACATAATTCCGTACTTCCTTTGTGTATTCGTACAATAGTTTTTATAAAAATAGATAAGCAAGCTAAGCAGTTGACCTGAGCAGAAGATATGGCATAAGCATTGAGCTCACTGTCAATGTAGTAGCAGCTAACACACAAATCATCTCCCTGATAACATCATCAACAAAACATATCACAACACTTATACGATTGTACCACAAATCCACAATGTGCATTCCGTAATCCGGTCATCATTTCGATTTATATCATTGCTCTTTATGTCTCTCTAAACACCGAAAAATAAGTATCTTCAATTGAAATGACTATTAGTAATCACTAGGCGAAAATACGCATACCCCACCGGTTCAAACCCCCCGAAAAATCAACAATGTCTTGTTAGCAAAATACAGGACAGGGATGTATGCCTAATCAAGGCTCAACTAAACCTATTCTTCCAGTGTTAATTACACCTCTAACCTATATTATATACACTGCAATCTTAGATTTGTAAACAAACTTTTATGCACACTCTACCATTTCTAGCTTCTTTCCATTATCCCCTTTCACATACTACAGCCCACAGGGGCTATAGCCTATAGGACCCCAAGGCTTTCGAACACATGAATCTATACAGCTATCAAAGGAATGGATTATGGATATAAATGCCCCCAAACCTCTCAAGAATCTTCAAGCTCGAGTTCGCGACTAGGTAGCCATTGTAATGTCTTAACAAATCCCACAATGATATATACACGACACAAGCATTTACATAATAAACACAACAACGCAAATATGCAATAACACAGAAATCAAACCAAAACCATATAAACAAACACTAACCAGTCCCAGCAGTAGTAACAGCCTGCCTATACTTCTTATCCTGAACATCACCCGCTGCAAAGACACCCTTCACACTCGTCTTTGTCGTACCCGGTGTCGTAACCACATACCCATCCGCATCCAACTCCACCTCATTCCCCAAAAACCTAGTAGCAGGTTCATGCCCAATAGCAAAAAACAACCCAGAAACCTGCACATCCTTAACCTCCCCACTAACAACATCCTTCACCTTCAACCCTCCCAAAACCCTATTCTCCTGTCTATCTCTTGACTGCGTTTCAGCCCAACAACCACTCCCCAACCCAGCCCCAACAGCCACCCCCTCCCCCTGCACCACCACCAAAACCACCCTCCTTCCAGAGCCACATAAGCGCAATAGACCCCCCGCCCCAGCCCCACCAACGAAACCGCCCAAAACTTGAATTCCTTAACCCGAAACCACCCTAACTCCCATCCCTTTCCCCACCAGAAACCCCCACCCCTTTCCCTGACCCGAAACCGCCGTAGACTCGAAACTCTACCCTGAAACCATTCCCCCACCCCTTGAATTTGTGAATTTGTGTTTTTCCTATAAAATAAAATAAATAAACTAAAATTCACAAATTAGCAACCAAAATTGACTCAATTATCAAACTAGACTCCAAAAATTACGTTAAATTCTTCGACTTTGTATAACCAATAGTTCAATTTTCCAACTTCAAATAACCCTAAATTGAGTATATACTAACAATTAAATACACGATTAACACTAGATTGTCAAAATTAATATTAGATGATTAAAGAAAAAGAAGCATCTAACCTTAGAAACTGCTTCAATGGAGGAGAGAAAGCTCAGAAACCCCTTCAATGGAGAATTTCGAGTACGCTTAAATGGAGGAGAGAGAGAGAGGAAAGAGTACAGCGAGAAACGCTTAAATGGACGAGGGAGAGAGGAAGGAGTACGGCGAGAAAGATATGAAGGATTACAGAGAGAGGAAGGAGTACAGAGAGGTTCGTTTTAATGGAGGAGAGGAGAGAGAGGTAGCGCAGACGAGAGAGGAGGAAAGATCGAGGAATTGAAGGAGAAAGAAAGAAGAATATAAGCGGTTTTTTTTTATTTCATAACACTTTTCCCACCGGTTTTGTTAGAACCGGTGCGAAAAACATACTTTTCCCACCAGTTTGGTTAGAACCGGTGGCAAATCCATTTTCCCTCCTTTTTTTTTTTTATAAAACAAAACTTTTCCCACCGGTTTTCAAGAACCGGTGGCAAAAGGGGGGTGCCTTTTTCAAATTTTCTACTAGTGAGTAAAGAAGAAGAGAAAGAGGATGGTTGAAATGTCGTAGCTTTACTACTACATTAAGACTTTATTTATAGTAAGATTTTACAATAAAATATTAGGCATTATTGTACCTTCTAGTATATGATTGATAGCTATGATTGATCTAAATACGTATGAACTTTTACATATGTATTTTTCTCAAAAAATTTTACTTTATGAAGTGTTTAATTCTTTTATTTTAAATTTTATGTCAGTTTAAAATTCGGGTTTGGGTTTCTTTCACTCTCCTTGATTTTTATGAATGAGTTGTATTAATATATTAAACAGTGCGTTATAGATTTTATTGTAAAAGTTAAGTTTTTATTTTTTTTGATGGGTACAAACAAATTTAATTGTGGGTACTTGGTGGGTAGAAAGTACGGAGTATGAAGTAAAGTATTTTCCTCCTATTTGAAAAAAAAACCGGCTTAAAAACTAGTGGCAGAGAAACAAATTGAAAAGCAGAAGTCAGAGTTTGTGACAAAGCACGAACGAAAGGTAAAAAACGTCTGTCCTCACGGATAAAAACAAATTTGGTAGGCCTAATAGAAGAATATTGGATATACTGATATAAGTCATATAAAACATAAAATATCTCAAACAAGCCTAAAACAATCTTTTAGGTATGACCGTATGATTACATTTACTCATGTCATAGAATATAAAGAGGGGTCTAACATACTCTAAAGCAGAAAAGTATTGGCGCATAGCACCTATGTTCTTAGAAAGTGTATAGGGTGACACTGGTTTTCTAGTGGTACAATTCAAAGTACAAAACGTGCGTACCACTTTGATTAAATGTACCAATGTAATTTCAGTGGTACATTTTTGGAGTATTAAATGTACCACTAGCACAGTTAAGTGGAATATTCAAGTTTTCTAATGCCTGATAAATTACACTTCTGCCCTCCTATACACTTCGTTTGTCAATAGGTGCTATGCGCTGATATGCACTTCTCTAAAGCTAAGGGTGGTGGTTTCTGGAAATTAGTGGATTAATTACTATCAAGAATGTGAATCCTTAGTTTGTGTATTACTTTGTAAGGGTATATATACAACCTATGTTAGGGCCTAAACATTAGCTCAATAGTTAAACTAAATACAATAAATAATTGGCTTAACACTCCCCCTTCAAGTTGGAGTATGCAAATAAAAAATGCCCAACTTGTCCAATAAATACAAAAATTGTCGCTTGTCCAAAGCTTTTGTAAAAATATCTGCCAATTGTTCATTAGTCTTCACATGCGCGGGACTAATAATACCTTCTTATACGGAATCATGAACCTAGTGGCAATCAACCTCAATATGCTTTTGAGATTAGGTGGATATCTAAGTGGGGGGTGGGGCGGGGATGTTTTAGGGATTGTACCTAACGGGGTGGGGATGGGGATGAATTTTGGACCCGTCGCGGGGATGTGGGTGGAGATGGGTTAAGAATGTTAGGCGGGGATGGGAATGGGAAAATCAACATCTGCTCGCCCCGCCACATTGACATCCCTATTGCATAATAGTATCTAAAATTTTATTGCTATAATACTTCAACCTACTAATTGTACGTACGGAGTATACCAAAATATACCCTTATCACTAAACTTATGGCCTAATTCCACCATTTTTTTTTATTATTATTTTTCATTTTATTTTGAAGAAATTTTTTCATTAATTCAAATATGTCATAATTTAGGAATCTTATGGGCTAAAAATAGATTAATTGAAATTTATAAAATATTAGTATTTTATTGAAAAAAAAAACTCTAAACTAACAATTTTATCTTAAAAATCTATCCAAATTTTATTGAAAATAAAACTCTAATCTAACTTTTTTTATCTTATAAATCTATCTAAATCTATCCAATATATTTATCCTATTTATCATACTAGTACTAATAATTAATTATCGCATACGTAACGTGACACTTGACACAAAATTGAAATGCCAAGGGTCGATATCTCGTTGGCTAATTAAAAGTGTAGCTTTAAATATTAGTTACTAATTTTATGCCCGGGCGATGCCCGAATTGTCCTAAACTCTCTAGCTTGAATGTCAAATACAATCGTATAACCCCTTTTGATAAAGTAAAATATTTAGACATAAGATATCATATTGGTTATTTATATAATATTGTACTTTTTGTAATTTTATTTGTAAATAGATATCTATGTTATTATTAACTTGGTATTTTTTTTATTGCACTTAAATTATTTTTAATGAACTGAAAGTATTTTTACCAAACTAAAATTATTTTTTTCTGATTAAAACTTATTTCTACTGATATTCTATTTTTTTTTTATTATAATATATTATAAATGGATCTCATTTTAAAGAACTTTTTAAAACGAATTTTATGATGAAAATAGTAATGAGTTATAAGATATTTATTAAAATTTACAATTAATTTTGTATATATGAAATATTAGAAATATATCTATAATAAAACACTATACAATATTTTTATCCTAAATAAATGTATCCAAAATTCGCTTACTTAGCATCCTATGTGTCACAATAATACCTATTTGTTGCCTACGTGGCTCGGACACTTGGCATTTGTGGCCTGGCTGCGAGACCGACTATATATATTAATTAGTGACTAGTTTTGCGCTCAAGCGATGCCCGGATTATCCTAAACCTTTAGCTTAAATACGATAATATAACCCCTTTTGATAATGTAAAGTATTTAGACATACAATATCATATCACTTATTTATATAATAGTGTACTTTTTGTAGTTTTATTTGTAAATAGATATCTATGTTATTATTAACTTGATATTTTATTATTGCACTTAAATTTATTTAAATGTATTGAAAGTATTTTTACCAAACTAATATTATTTTTTCTAATTAAAACATTTTTTTTTACTGATTTTCAATTTTTTTTATTAAAATATATTATAAATGATCTCGTTTTAAAGAACTTTTTAAAACGAATTTTATGATGGAAATAGTACTGAGTTATAAGATATTTATTAAAAGTTAAAGTTAATTTTGTATATATGAAATATTAGAAATACATCGATAATAATACACTATACAACATTTTTATCTTAAAAAAATCTATTCAAAATTCGCTTACTTAACATCATATGTGTCACAATAATACCTATTTATCGCCTACGTGGCTCCACACTTGGCGAAAAATTGAAATGTCAAGTGTCATTGTCTCGTGGCTTGGTTGCGAGACTGGCTTTATTTATTAGTGATATAATATGATATTATATTGTGCATGCATGTACTTGTTAATCACAACCTTTATAATTAGAAAAAAAAATATTAATAGACAAGTTATGCATGTTGGATTTAAGTTGACGGGCTAACATTAAATCCATTAATATAATTGGGTTTAGCGTATCGGGTTCGTGTGGACCCAATTACTTAAATGAGTCGAGAATTTTTGACCCAAACCCGCTTATTTCGAGTCAGGTTCATGCAGGGTTATCATATTGAGTCAGCTTTTGTCAGCCTTAAGACGATGGGAGTATAATATATTTTCAAAAAGTCTAATTTAAAAAAACCTAACCAAACATGTATAACACGAACTTCTAATTTATTTACTACCTAGTAATACTTATTTTTCCACTTCCTTTTACTTACAACACTAAGATTTTGCACATGCTCTCTCTTATTATGTCATATTGTGCTATATACGAGAGGAGAAAAATAAAATAAAATAAATAAAGGTTATGTGAGATGTTAGATTCGTCTAATTTTACTTTTTTATAATTTTTTTTTTTTTTTAATTTGTGAGTGTTTGAGATATGCGTAATGGAAATCAACTTAATTTATGTAACAAAGATTCAAAGGGATTAAAAACAAAAAGGAAGGATGTAGAAGTAATTATACTATTTAATTTCAAACCATTTATTCTCATTTGTACTTTAATATAGAAATTCAGATGAATCTAACAACGCCACAAAGAGTATGTTTTTCGTAACGTATAAAACACATAAGACAATTAAAAAAGAGTGTATAGATAGTATAAAATCTCAAAAGTTTCTCAAATATTGTAATTTAATAAGAACGAGGATATAGTGTGTATATCAACGAAACCGGCACAACACGAACACGAAGTTACTAAGAGAAAACACAAAGTCAACATGACATACACAAAATCAACCCAAGCACTATTCGTTTAGATAAAGTGGCCAAATTATGAAATTATCTTACATTTTACATATTTTTCATAAATTTGGTGAACAACACGAAATAGACACGAGACCAAACACGAACACAACACGAATTTTTGCCAGCTCACTCAAAAGCGAAAGGTTGATTTTTAAATTACATAATTTTTATTTTTAAATCACTCACGCATCAACTCAACTAGTTTATTGAAATTAGTTATATATAATTCAATGCGCTCGTACATATTAAATTATTAAGACATCCAATAGCTTAGTATTAGAAACATTTTTCTTTAATAATTGTCAAAGGTTGCGGGTTCAATACTCCTAGCAGCCATTTTTATTTGGGTTTTGGGATTTTCGAAGATTCCCTGATAGAGTGACGAGGAGATACCCACCAAGACTTATCCAACAAGTCAACAACCCTTTTATTGCACTTTTATTTTCCTCGTAAAAGAGTACTCCGTAACTACTTAGGTACTCCGTAGTAAACTAGTAATAGATTAATTTGTCATAGAAAAAAAATTAATTTAAGAAAAAAAACTAATAGATTTCTTTCAAAAAAACAAAACAAAAAAAAAAAAGAAAAAAAACCTAAGGGTTTGTTTGGAATCGTTTTGAGTTTTTTGTTTTTTCAAAACTGAAAATTGATTTCAGTTTTTGATTCTTTATTTTTAAAAACTGGTTCCATTTCTCAGTTTTGAGTTTACAATAAACTCTCATATTACCAAATCATTTATAGATTCTAGCTTTAATCAACTC